AATATGATCTTAGATTAGATTTATTTTGGTTTCTTGTTTGTTTTTATTCATGTATTTATTTAGTGTCCATGACCACAGTCTATGATCTTCAGTTTCACATTTCCATAGTAAATAATGGATGGGATTAACAGTAGGTGTCATAAAACCAACATGCTTCAACTGCAACAGTTCTTCATTCTGCTTTTTCTCTAATTCCAGTTCCAGTTGGGCTATTTGCTCCATGATTTCTTTCTTCTTCTTTTTATCCCCTTTTGTAGATGACTTTTTGAGAGACTGAATTTTTCCTGCACACAAAATAATACAAAACATAAAATAGCCAGTTTATATAGTAACACAAATACATAATAATCATTGATTGTTCTAGTCACGCAATATGAATCATGTGTAAAATTCTGTGATAAAGTCTCCTGCACAATTTCTTTGTACAAGTTTAATTCAGCTCTTGGCAACCATTACTTGATGACCATAAATTCATCAGACATAACTGATTAGTTCATAAAAAATCAATTATACTTAGATAAGAGAACTGTTTAAGACTAGATTATATAATGTTGAAAGTAAAATATTTTACATAGCAGTATCATCGTTTAACCTTATAAAACCTTGTAGTAACTACATGTACCACCTGCCATAACAGTTGATAACTGATTTGTATTTATGGGTTTCATATGATTATGTGTACATGCTGATTATTTCTTCAAACACCATTAACCAACTGTTCTTTGTAATGGAGAAGCATTGTGTTTTTTCTGGTAGGGACTGAATTATTAAATATTATTTTGGTGAAATCCTGCTTCAGAGGGTTAAAATCATATAATTACTTTCAACAGAAAATCAGCATCTAAGCAGAAACCAGGTCAGATCCAACATCACTGGCTTAATTTGTCCATTGGCAGGGAAAAGGGGCAGAATAATGTTTATTTTTCTATAAAAACTAAATAATGTAATACCAGCCGGTAGAAATGTCATTCCATTTCAGACATTAACTTTCTGAAAATTCCTTAGCAAGGATTTTTTTATTCAACAGTTTTGTTGCTCACTTCATTATGAAATAAGTTTCGCAGAATACACAGCTCACCAAAAAATCACTCATACTTACAGAGTGTGTTGTTCTTGTAAAATATCCCTCATTAGCTTGTGGTAACTGAAAATGTTGTAACATTGTATTGTTTCTGCTTCAATGGCATGGCTAATTGAAAGCAGTCATTCTGTTTACCTTGTCTTCTTGCATCATTCCTAAAACCATAAATGCCAACCTTGAATCTCAAATTATGCGCGTCTTTAATGTGTAGTGGAAGTCCTGTAGGTTCAACCCTGTGAGGATTATTTCCTATTTTGTGTCTTTATCTTTGGTAGCTGCATGTGGGGAATGTTGTTAAACTCCATGTTGAGCAACTGCCATACACAGGTATTCTGAGGTCCAGAAAACCAAATCCACATCAGTTTAACAACCAATTAGGGTCCTTGGGTAAAGCCATGGCATATTTATTGATGCCAAGGGGTCTGTGCCTTGTGACTGGCTATCCCAGACTGAGGTTCTTGTGGTTTTCTCAGTCCCTTCAGGCAATTTCCACTTCCTTGCACATCCTTCCCACATAATTACACGTCATTCATCCCATCATCTGGTGCTATACAATGAGTCATTGAAAGAACCGACTCAGAAGACCAAAATCGATATCCTAACCTAATATTTTGATCCAAATATTCAAACTTGACTTACTTACTGCAATAAACGGTTTCATTTTCAGTTAGCAGGATTTCTTCATAACCAAATTAATATGTACCTTGTAACGCATTCCTCTGTCTCCGATGTTTCTGCAGCAATTCTTCTTCTGTTCTCTGACCAATCTCCATCTCTAACCTCCTAAGCCTCAACGCTTCCTGATAATTTACACTGAACATTATTAGATTCAGTGCGACTATCAGTTATGTTGGTATTATTTGTGGATATTATGTTGGTATTCATCTATGAAATGATGTAAACTTGATAAGTACCGTGGTTTGGCTGTAGCTAGCTAACCCAGGGGGTCCAACAAATGGACTTCCCGTTCACTTTCCCCTCTTTTACCTGCAAACAGAAGCAGAATCCTGGTTTCAAACGCTTTAGTTGTGCTTTTACATATTTTACGCACAATTGTAAGAAACCTTCAAACTTAACTACAAGAATGTTTTTGGTTGTGTCTATGCCCCCTGATCGCTGCAGCAAGGACCACTGAAACATCAGTAAACTTCTACCAGAGTCCAAAGCGAAACAACCCAGAAGACAATATAAACAAAGAGATACAGATACAACCTTTATGTGCCTATTTCTAACCTCAGTAAATGTCAAAAAGGAGTTTACTATACTGGAATATTGTTATGAGTCACAATTGTACATGGTAAATTGTGATAGTACAATGTTGGCTACGCCGATATTGAATTGTCTGTTGGAGGGAGTTTGGTGCGTAGGATTTAGGTTGAATTGTAGTCTGGCGATAGTCGTGAGTATGTGTTGTAATTTGTAAGGTACGAAACGAAGTTGTTTTAATGTAATTTCATGACGTCAAGAAGTTTAATTTATCATGTAAACTATCTCAACTGCACAGAGAAAATAACACAAAAATGAATACATCTTGACAACTAACATTATGCTTGCATCAGAACATGTAGCTGCTAAAGTAATTAGTGACTGATAATAAAATAGGTTTTTTTTCAGAAGAAATTGTATAATTGTTCAATTTATAATCATGTAATAGTAGTGCTGAACTGCATAATGATGAGCTTAAAAATCTGTACTCCTCCCCCAATATTGTCAGGGTGATAAAGTCTAGAAGAATGAGATGGGCGGAGCATGTAGCGCGCATGAATGGGACAAGAGGTGTGCATCGGGTATTGGTTGGGAAGCCTAAGGGGAAGAGACCGCTGGGGAGACCTAGACGTAAATGGGAGGATAATGTCAGGCAGGATCTGTGGGAGATAGGAGTTGAAGGAAACTGGATTTTGTTGGCCCAGGACAGGGTCCAGTGGAGGGCTTTGGTTAATTCGGTGATGAACCTTCGGGTTCGGTAAGCCATCTAGTTAGTTAGTAATAGTAATGCTGAGTGTAAGATAAATATCTTATACTTGTCTCCATAAAGAAGTCATTCGATACTGTGTGTTATAAACCATATTTTATCTTTCCTTTTTCATTTTGATTGCAATATTATGTTTAAAAGTATGTTACCTTTTTATTCAGGTCTGAATTAAAATGGCTGAAGATGATACCCTTCCAGCAAATGCAGTTATTGTGTCAGTGATGCATATGGTTGATCCTTCAACACTCTGGGTCACTGAATCACCTCAAAAGGACATGTCAAAAGATAGGGAAGAACTTATTCATCTTGAAGAAATGCTTTCAGGGCATTGTCGTCGTAGTTCATATAACTTCCAGGGGATGAACTACTTGCCTGAAGAAGGAGAGGTGAGGTTTGCTGTCATGCACATATTGAGTTATATCCTTGTAAATCCACTATTGAAACTTAGTATGTGTGAAAAATAAAATTTCAAAGTCTAAGGAATTTATGAATTAAGCTTAAATGTTTTGCATATTTTTACAAACAAACTTCAAGAAAAGAGTTTCACATTGGTTTTTTTGCATGACATTCACATGTGGTTACTTGTGTCTCTACTTTATATCTCTGACACTACCCACTGTATTTCTGTGAAATTTGGTTTTAGAGGTTATACATTGAAAAGTCATGTGAGTTTAATGTGTATCATATTGGTCCCTGCCCTACATGAAACTCAGATGGGACTCATTTTTACATTGTATAATATAAATATATCATTAAGACCTGTACATGATATTGAAGACATGTTTTGATAAGATGTATATTTAATTAAACTGAAAAAAAATTAATGGCTCCTTGCAGTGTGTTATAATGATTTTAAACTTGACAGCAATAGATTTGTATGTACACCTTTCCACTTCTGTTGTTAGTGAAGGACTCAGAGAATCTTACCAGTAAGTCATTTACAGGAAATAAACATTTTCTCAAAAGCAGCCTGTTGCACAAAGGAAGTGTATTTAAGCAAACAAATCTTGTCGTGCATTTTTAATTCATGTTTTAAAAATTAATATTTGTCGTTTATGAATGTGGCAGTTATATCATTTAATGACCCCAAAATTTTATTTTGTGATTTTATTTTAAGAAGAAGTTGCAGTATTAAATTTCATAACACAAGTTCCTTACCTCCATATGCAGAACTTGGATTGCACTTAAATTGCTAGGCTAAATTGTCCAGTATAGAACCAAATTTAATTTTGTTAACAAAGTTTAGTTGTAGTATATGTATGAAATATCATGTAAATTTAATCAGGTAGAATTATGTCTGCATGGCTAGTGAAAAGTAGAACTTTCAGTTTGCCCATGGATTGAAACACCTCTTATAAACACACGCAACTGTCTTATATTAGGTTATGTTTCTCATGGAACTGATTTACTTTTAAAGACTATATACATATCGTGTGAATAAGTAAACTGTTGTCACAAGTCAATAAAGACATTGATTTACAAAGAATTGTGTAATAAAGAGCAAAAAAAGGAAAAGGGTGTCATTGCAGATTAAAAGTATTAACTGTTGTTCATTTAAATGGCAACACAAAGAATGAAAGACATGGAATTGATCTTTAAATAAGCTCTACAATGTACATGGGAATGTAAAAATAATGACTAATTATTAATAAATAAATATTAAAAGTGTGAGAATGTAATTCTCCAGTGGAATATTCACATTTTCTGCATATCAAATTCTCCTTGATGCTTAATTATAGTAATTGCAATGCAGTATTGCAAAAATAATCATAATAACACATATTCCACCTCACATAGCCAGAAATTATTTTTATTTTTATGTCAATAATTATGCATCATGTCAAAAAATATTTTAGTCAAAAGTCACCTGCAATATGTGTCATGTTGTAATTTGCTATACATTGACTTTTTTGAGAAATTTTATAGCATTCTGATGGGGCTTCATGTATAGTTGGAATTTAATTGGCCGATGTGCACAGAAAGTAAATCTGCTTGACAACTTTAGTGTGAACTATCCAATACCAAACATCATTTAAATCCATTTATTGATTTCAAATATAAACATATGGATGGCCAGACATGATGTTCCAGCGATGCAGTCTCCTTATGCACTTTATGGACAGAATGTATAAAAACTATCTTTATTTTGTTATAGCTGGTTGCTGTTCAGAATCCTGAAACAGGTCACTGGCACAGAGCACAAGTGGACTATGTACTACATGTGACTAACGGCTATATATATAAAGTGTTCCTTGTGGATCATGGTCTCCCATTTGAAGTGCGCAGCTCTTCAATTAGGAAGCTGCCTGCAGCCTGGAATAACTTTGATTTCCAAGCATTCCAAGTTGTGCTTTATGGCATTATTCCTACAACAGTAGGAATGGACTACCAGGATATGAAAATGAAGAGAGAGTATGTGTATCATAATATAAATTAAAATAATTTGTAATTCTTTGCATGTTAACCCCTTGAAGCCACAACTCAACATACATTTCCCGCTGCAAAAAAATGTGACAGGCATTCATTACAGAGACCAAATGGTTAATGCAGTTTAGGGACATAATCATAGTTTATACTGAGATTCATACAAAATGCACATGGAGAGAGTATGAACTAAGATAAAGTCATCTTGTGTCTTCTTTTCAGAGTTGCAAGTAACTGGTCAGCTGCAGCAGTGAAGTTTGTCAAGCGTCTGCTGGAAGAATCCACCAAGTCATGGCTTGTATACAAAAAGAATGTCAAAAAGAAGATATATGGTGACTTGTTTCTAGAACTGTCAAATGGAAGCATAAGTCTGAGTAAGGAGCTGTGTAGTCAAGAATATGCAGTGTTTTCTGAGGCGCTTTTTGAAGAAGGTTTGAATTTGTTGATAAATGAGTAACCAGTTATTTTAGGCTAGCACACAAACTGTACACATTAGGAAGGCAAAGCTGCAAATACAAGGAAGTAGTATGGTAAGAGGTCAATTTAATAATGATTAAAAAGAGACCACTCCCAGTGAGTTACATTTTTGGAAAGTAAGTAAAGTCATAAAAATAAAAAACATTCATATATGATCCACAATTTTATAAAGATTTCACACTGAGTGAAGGTTTCACGTTTACTGTTATCCATACATATATAGTAGGTAAGTTACACTGTACAAAGACAAAAATCCTTTAAAAGATTAAAAGTAATTTTACATCCAACTTCCTCAATACATGGGAAAACATTACAGTAAAATTTTACAGTAATTATGTTTATGTTTCAGCATTGATAAAGTCTGATACAAAGCAAGAAGAGTTTGTTTATAGGACACCTTCCCCACAGGTTCCAGTTTGCACAGACAGTAGGAACCAAAACACTAGTCCTGTGCCTTCATTAAGTAACAAGATTGAACATCGCCAGATTCGAGTATGCATAAATTAGTATTCTGTTGCTTCTTAGTGAGAAGTTAAAATTTATATGCAGATTAAAATAATTCTCAAGCATAGTTTAATACAAATCAGTACTTCCTTTATTATCACCAAGTATCTAATGCTTTAAAGGTTAGTATTTTGAATCACAATAACTTTGTTGAACATAGTCCATTGATGTATGTGTGTGCATATGTATACATAGAAGCGCCATGTAAAGAAAAGACTATGGTCTTATTATTAGTGCTATAACTTATAAAATATTTGCCACTGTATGGGTAGTCTTACATGAAGAAAATGCAGCCTAGTGCAGGCCTTATTGCCAACTGTTTAATCCACTCAGCCTCCTACCCAGTCTCTACCAGGTTTCTTTCCTCTGAGATAAAACAGCTGGAATGTGATGTTGACCACTCAACTTCATCTGCTACAGAGGTTAAGATTGTGTGGTGCTAAATTAATGTAGGGATCTTTTTTAATACAGATATTAGTAAGCATTGCTCCTTGTTATGTTGCTATGTAGGATTACATTCGAGAATGCAGTGTTAAACGGGCAAAGATAGAGGAACAGAAATGTAACCAGACTGATAAATGGAGAAGAGATGTTGAAGCAGCATCTGTGGATACACATGTAAGTTTCAGCTGTGAGTGAAATGCATGTTTTCTGCCGTGGAGACTTGATGGCCTAGTGGGAAGTGCTCGCCATGCTTGTATCTTTCGACAAGTTATTTTTTCACATGCTATCCGAAGGCCATGCATTTGCCTATCACTTGAAAAAAGTTACAAATGTGGAAGTAATGTTGTGGTCCAGTTTACTTAGCTAAAGGTTTTGTATGCTGGTCAGGATTGTTGTCATCTCTTTTTCATCAACAGTAAACAATTATTCTGTACTTGTAAAATTGACAGAGCCCCATTGGCATTTG